CATACGGCATTCGCATTGAACAAGAGTGAATGGTTTGTCCACTTTTTTTTTCATCGCTGTTGTTGTATTGGCAAGCCAGAATGTGCATCCATCAACAGAAACATATATTAGCCGAACCCTGTTTGTTTTACGTGTTATTTATAGCAAACCATAGGCTATTACAGATGCGTTGTCAGATTTAAGTTGAACCGCGGTCCTAGCGCGTGCCGAACCGTGTGTGGAGAACCGTACGGTTCGATTTTTTTCCACAAACCGTTCCACCCCTTCTTCATGACTTTCAGAAAACAAAAAAAAAGAACGGAATTCCCCTCTAATGCATGTGTGTCCACTGTTGGACATTGTAAATAGGCATATTAAAATAGTTTAAGTATGAAAAGTGTTTTAAGAGAGTTTATTAGATTTTTCATGGTTTTGTGGATGTTGATTAACTTTTCTACTTTTCACCCTCTCTTAATCTCCTCCCTGAATAGAGCATGTTCTGGAAAGTTGGGTTCAAAAAGAAAACATGATATTCTCATGGTTTGACTGAAGAATCTTAGAAGATGTGTGTGTGTGCCTGTGTGTGTGCCTGTGTGTACACCACAAGGCTACATCCCTGCACTGCTTCCAAAACCACACTGGAGAAAAAAGCGCCAGTCGCCGCTGATCCCTACCAAAATGGGAGCAAGAGTGTGTTGCCCTCCTCTGCTGAGACAGTCCAGAAACACAAAGAGTCTAAACCTCACCTCACATGCCCTATAGTACACAAGACTATAAAACACACGCTCACACGCTGACGCTTTCTTACTAAACACAGCTCATACACTAGCATTCAAAAGTTTAAGGGTCAGTAAAAACGAAGTGTTTTTTACAGAAATTAACACAGCAAGGATGCATTACATCAACAGTAAAGACATTTATAAAGTTTCTATTTCAAATAAAATATGTTCTTTTAAACTTTCTATTCATCAAACAATCCTGAAATTTGTTTTTACCACAGTTTCCACAAAAATATAAGCAGCACAACTGTATTCAACATTGATGATAATAATAATAACCATTTCTTGAGCAGCAAATCAGAATATTAGAGTGATTTCTGAAGGATCATGTGACACTGAAGACTGGAGTAATGATGCTGAAAATTCAGCTTTGCATCACAGGAATAAATTATATTTTTGTTGTTTTAAACTGTAATTGTATTGCAGTAATATTTCACTATATTACTGTTTTGATGTATTTTGACCAAATAAATGTAGCCTTGGTAAGCACTCATTCCTTCATTAAAATATCTTACCAACCCCAAATGTTTAAATAGTAGTATATGTCGACTACATTGGATTTCCCTCCTAAACTCATTTCCACAGTTAAAATGCATATCTTTAAATGCCCTACTGACAGCACTAGGCCGCTTCTTAATCGATCCTAGCATAAATATCATTTTGCATGGCACTTTGTGGTAAATATTTCCATGATAAATACGATCAAATATCTCCACTGACCATCACCACACACGCTTGGCACAGATGGTATTTCCTGCTAAATTGCATTTGACAAACCTGATGAGAAAAACAGCACCGAAAACAGATCCATAATCATGATCAAATACATCAAAATCATTAGAAACACCACATCGTGTCAGTTTGTGTACGAAAACATCAGAGCATCTAAACATTGCCTAAGAGTGTAATATTATAGTGTTATTTAGGTCAGACTGGCCTTGTTAAGCAAATAAAACATGCGAAAAAGGCACGTCGGCACAAAATGATGCTCTGCGATGTTATGCAAATCCATAAACCAAGAGCATGGAAAGTTGCACTTAGCCACTATATAATTATTTAGCACTGTTCAAATTAAAAGCAGATGCCCCTGAATTGTCAAGTATTTGCTGTGGATAAGGGAGTGATGGTTAGGAAAGCCGTATGTATTTCTTAATCATATGTTTTGAGCTCAAGAGGGAAATTTATGTTTGGTCACAGGAGCGGCCGGTCCTATAGGCGATATAGGTGGTCAACTTCCAACGACCATTTGCATCTCTCATTTTATTGAACAAATGCATTACTGTATTCCCAAAGATTTTATGAGAGAATATAATGAGCTGGAAAGACTGATGATATGATGATGCTGATCTGCTTAAGGCAATGAGGTTAGAGTGGATTCAAAATTCCCATGAAAGCAAAAGGAGTTTTAAAATGACTTTTACAAGCAAGTTGGTGACAGAGTGAGTGGTACCAGGCAATGAGGGCAGAAAATGGGATGAAATGAGAGAGAACTATAAATGTACAGTATATTTTGATCTTAATGCGATTCCTTTCTTAAAAAAGTGCAACTCAAGTTTAGCGACTGGGGTAATATGACTGACTCACTGTGGTTGCTGAAGATTTCATTATTGCTGTGGCTGGCAAAATCCTTGGATGACACCAATTCTCCGTTTCCACCAGTGTAGGGTTTCTCAAACTGAAAAATGGATGGAACAGATGTACAAGTTATAAGTAATGCTAGTTTGTCAGAGTAGCAATGAACAATGAATTATCCATGAATTCAAAACAAGTCAACGTAAAATCAAAATTGACTCTATTTACAGTACCATCATAGTGTACATCCCTACTGTGAATAATTAATCGGTGCATGTATTTTAAAAACGTTTGTCATTGTAATTTTTCACCAAAATGTGATAACTTGCTCTGAAACCTTTTTCATTTTTGGCTGATGTCACTAATCTTTTATTTTTCAGCCCCACACCTGCAGCCTCAAATATTGTCTTGTTATGACCAATAACCTCCAAATGGCATTCATTCAATTTCTATACTATAGTGTTGAATGTAAACAAACATGGCGGCCGGTGTGGTAGTACGTGCTAGAGGTGCTGTGTTCTCGAACAAAATCTGAGATTTTTATCTATAAAACAGCTGATGGGAAAGTGATAGTGGAGGATGAGTTTTTGAACTTTATTGTCGTTAAAATGAGAACACTGTCTCATGATGAAATTGTCTTGTTAGCCTCAAACAATTTTTCATCTGAGTGGATTGAGGAATCCAAGCGACTGTTGTTTGAAATGTGCAAGACTACAATATGATGCATCAAGCATAAAGGCCCTCAGAAGGACATTAATAACATCAAGGACTGTCTGAAGGTGTTAAATGAGTGCGGTGAAAAAATCCCCAGGTTTGTTTCGCACTACCTGGATGAACTTCCACCTGTGGGATTTGGTAACATGGACGCCTCGGCGTTACTCAGTAGAGTGGAACAGCTGAGTCGGGAAGTTTCAAGTTTGAGAGAGGCTCTGGAAGCTCAGGAAAGCGTGAATGAGAACTTGGGGGCGGCTGCAGTAGTCATGGATCGCCGGGTGACGGCTATTGAGAAGCTCCGTGGATCCCCTGTCCGGGCGCAGGTGGTTGGTGCTGCGTTCGCGTCTCGGGAGGAAGAGCCGCGGGATTCGGCAGCAGGTGCTCGCCAGTCATGCGGAGAGGCCCCGAGTCCTCTGTTACAGCCCCCAGCGTGGAGCACTGTCGTGAGGAAAGGGGTACGAAAGCATCACAAGCCATCGAGCGTTACCGGGCAGTCCAATAACGCTGCTGTGCCGGCTCGCTTGAAACGGGACCAGCGGAGGAAAAT